TAATTTTTTGAGAATTTCTGGATGATTCTTCGAATCTTTTTAATGTATAAAAATTAGGGAGGATGTTGAAAATGTTGGAAAAGTTGGAAAATATTGGATTTGGGGGTTGTTAGAAATTAAAATATGAAGTGAATAATCAGAAGAAAAATTAATACTAGAGACTCCAACAACGAGTGCCTCTGATCCCATTAGCGGACTAACTGCTTTATGTGCATACCTTTTCTTCTCTTATTTATTTCTTTCCCAAATCACCATCGTTTTCCCCGAAAAAACAAATTCAACCAGAATGCCCCCTTAAAAAGCGATTTTCAAGGACCCTCTATACTAATAAGCCCAGACAACCGACCTGGCTCAGTTTCCTAGACCTCGACACACTCAGTTTCGATATATAACAAACTTCTGTAAAGTATTAGTCAGAAGTGTGATATGTTAGCGCACATAGAATGTTTGTAGCCTGTTTGCCAATAGCCTGTTCCAAGCGTTCAGATAGTGGAGAGCGGTGCGAAGTAAAGAAAGCGATCCCCACTATCTGAACGCCTGGAACAGGCTAATTTGCCAAACGCAATCGATCGTGGAACTGCGTTTCAGTTCAGTGAAAATCAAACAGCTACACCCGTTTGGAAGGTTTTATCTTTTACGTTTCTCAACGTCGAAAAGAAGCCCTAAACGAATGCAGCTGTCTCTAATTTTTGGAATTGCCTTCGGCTCCTGATTGATTTCAGATTTGCCGATTTCCGGATGATCCGGATTTCCGTATTTCCGGTTTTCCGTCTTTCCGCGTTTCAATATTTCCGGTTTACGTGTCAACCTGCATTTGACCTTGCAGAGCCGGTTGAATAGAAGGTTTATTCGAGGTTGTAGCTCTGAAATCTCAATTTTCTGATCCAAAATGAGACCTTCCCAGTTAATTTTCTGATTCTCGAGCAAACTTTCACCTCTGAACGGTTGTTTTACCGAGCTATTTAGCTCGAAACGTGACACAGTTTCACCTGTTCATGCCTGTTTTGATCTTCGGATTGTTAGCTTGGGATTCAAAACTGGCCGCATACCAGCAGTTTCTAAAGCACATCTTACTGGAATTTTATGGAGTCCGGCATCTCAGGGATTGGAATATGTCTCAATTTGTGAGTCAGTGCCAGTAATGAATCAGGTAAGCCGTACTTTTGACAAAATCTGCTTGAGATAGATCCGTTATGCTAAATCTGAAACTATCGTATTAGCTCGCATACGCGTTGATACAAACGGTCATAACTTTTAAAATACTGAAAACGTACATGGGGTTTTGTATATTATTAATAACAGGTGGTCTATCTTTGCGCCTATTTAGTCTAGAGCTTTCAACTATGCCCCAAAGGTCAGAAATAAGCTTTTAAAACAGGGTCATTTTTGGCCTTTCGCTCCAAGGCAATTAGTTGGGGTCATATTTTGCTTGATTTCGTCTTTCCAGCTAAATTTAGCGGATAACTATTACTTTCAGGAAAAACTAGCGATGTTAACCTATAAATAGGTATAAAATTCATTGGTAGATGGTGTAAATCAAACATTTTACAGCGCCGCAAAAAATGCCAAATTTTCAGTTTTCAAGACGTGCAAAATGGCCGTGGCGGGACAAAATACTCGGCGCCCCCCAGCGCGGCCAGAAAATTATTGTGAATCAAAGCAAACCTATTTTAGTTATAGTCTCGATAAAGCCTTTCACTCGCCAGAGTTTCAGGCAAAATTATTTTTCACGCGAAATTGAGTGGGCGGTTTTTACTGAGACAGCCTCTTAACAACTAGGTAGGCTAACGGTTTTATTTAGTGGTGGTTTGAACAGGTTACAACCGAACACTGTCAGGCTACTCAGTCACTTCACTCACTGTCCATCTCGGAGTTGATAACGTACTGCATTACCAGTATAGCACTAGTATTGTGCATAGACAATCAGATTTGTGATCGAAGGCCGATAGATTTATACATCTAATAATTTATACTAATATAAAATTCCTAAAGATATCCGGACACTAACTTAACACGATGTACATTTCACAGCTGATTTCACTGTTTTAATGGCAAATAACAGTTTACTTGATAAGAATTTACGAGTACGATACTTATTGTGGCGTAGACGTGAACAGCGGATACCATATTCTAGTTGTTGATTTTACTTCTTTGAACTCCAGTCCATATTTTCTTAATTTTTCTGCAAGGACTATCTTGTACCCTCGTCCCATATATACATGTATAGTGTAAAGGTGAATGTGTGAAGGACCTTCCCGTTGCAAAATGTCACTAGACAGGAGAAGCATGGTTCTCATTAATGCAGTATCTCTAAAACAAAAATGTTCGTTTAGAAGGCGACTGAAGTATGTCGGATAGCCTTTTCCAGGCGCTCAGATTGTGGGGGCGACCCTCAGAGAGATGCGAGTAGGAAAAAGGGCGAGGGGGTGGGGTAGTGAGCAATGCGTATTGAAGAAGAAGAAGGAGAAGGCCAACTACTGGCCTACAACTCTCGGCCGACCGAGACTATTAATACGAAGGTTAGTGGAAAAGTAAACTTAATCTTCTATATGCTTAACGTATTTCAGATCCGTTTTCTTGTTGATAAAGTCAAAAAAACAGAAAAATTGTCATTTGTAGGATCATGAAGAATTTTTTTACTATCACAGCAGCCGGCGTCACGCAATGCGAATTCAGCACCAATATGCAAATTTAAGTCGAATCCTTCTACTCTGAATCGCGTTATGCCATAAGTTTTATTACATAACTTGACAAACTAGCTCTTAATCTTTAACTGAAACATGTTTTTAGGTCTGGCTTAAGTGCCACATTGGAGAACATATCATGTTTTTGAGGCATTTATTCATGCATTCGGCTTTCTTAATTGGATTAGTGAAATAAAGACGACCAGTTTGCACTGATTACGGAACTGGATAGTGCCTAAATGGTACTGGAACAATAAGAAGAAGCAATATGCTTCCAATTGAGTGCAAATAGTCTAGGATTTGATGACCCGAAGTACTTTTAAACGACAGTTTAAAAACCTGTTAAACAGCATGTCCGAAATCGAGTGGAACACGTTTAGGAAGACTGCCTCTTTAAAATTAGGTACCTAGTCATGCCTTAAGCGGCCTGGGGATACCCAAGGTATTGAATTCTTAGTTACATTCAAACTTTTGCAAGCAGGGTATAGAAAACTGAGACGGTGACTGTTAGTTACATGTTGGAAAACCCGAGAAATACGTGTTTCCAAGTGAACAGTAACCGATGGTCTTCTCACCTCACGTTCTCTTGAAAACAATTTATTCCAGAGTATTTGTACCACATTGCATTGATTGCGATTTCGGCGTCATGATGTTGCAGAAGTCTTAGGTTACGTAATTACCTTTCAATACGGTTCATATCCTATAGTACACCTTTTGCTGTTCATTAAAAGAAAATACGCATTCATTTGCGTGAAACGGCGACCAATGCAACAGCGCGAAGATACATTCATTAGCGCGAAAGAGCGAACATTTGCACATAAATCAGATTCAATAGCGATTTTTGCATTTTAATCAACATTCAATAACATTTTTGGGCATTCATTTGCGTCATTCGACATACAAAAGAGAAAAATATACTTTTATTAACGCCAACTGGCATTCGAGTCATTAACATTTTCTTGAAAATCATTTGGGACAATAGACAAACATTCTATTCATTAACATTTTTACGACACAGTTTGCAATTCAATAGCATTCCTGGAAAGCTTTAGAATGGATAAGACAAACATTAATGCGCTTGTACAATCAATTGAGCGTTCTTAGGGACGGACCCCGAATTCGAATTAGTTTATTGCAATTGGTAAAGATGAAGCGATTTACACAGGTCTTACGGTACTCTAAACTCCGGCCAAATGATAGTGATAAGCTTTAAATTTATCCCTGTAATATAAAGGCTTTATAAAAAAGAGTGGTAATGAGACTTAAGCACATGCTATGACCACTTGGAGATGAATCTAATTGATCAGCAAATTTGCCCCACTACTTCTAAAGAAAATGAACAGCGACATTAAATGAGAATTTGATGTTAGGGTTGAGAATCCGGCTTTCTGCTACACAGGAAGATCCATGAAGAACGAGGAGACAATAAACGAGAGGAGAAGTCGCTGACAAGTCCAAAGCCGGCGATAAGCGTGATCGAAATTTCCCCAGCAAGAAGGATAATATGAAAGAGTAAAACATTGGCTAAGAGGTGTCTATTGATGAATAAATGGTACCAAACCGTCTAAAAGGCTTTTTACTGCTCTGGTGTTTTGTTATTTTTAGAAAATAGTTCATGTGTGAAGGCCGATTCGTGTAAAAAAAAAGGTATGCGGTTTCACAAAAATCTGGACTCCTGTGGACGTAGCCTGAATTGGGAAAAGAAAACCTGCAAGCTAAAAGGCCTATTAACTTGTTTAATTTGAGCGCGGAAACAAATTTAAAAAGATGTAACTGAACGACGATTCAGAAGTGCTCAAAAAACGACGAGCGCATTTACGAAAAACAAATTTATATCGCTTTGTTTTTATTGCCGATGCTATTATCTATCTACGGATTTACAGAACAACGTTTTGCAGACTCTTTTGACTTTGTGTGAATATAAATAATATTTTCAACCTCTCTTAGCTAGGCAAAGGTCTACTTTTTAGAGCATGAATTAAACAGGAAACAGTGTAAGTTGTAATTAGTTCCTATTTTTGGTAAGTAAACTCAATTAGCAAAAACTAATTACGTGGTCTGATTTGCAGTCCGATCACTAAATCACCTTGACTGATTTGTTCAAAATAGCTCAAGCAAACAAAGGTAATTCATGCAGGTTTTGAGTTGCAGTCATCCATTAGTTTTTCTTTAAGGTCTGTTGACTTTTTCCAGTATGTTCTAAGAACGTGAAATGTGTTTAACATACTTTCGTTTTATGACGTCATGACTTCCCCGTGCCTTGCATCTTTTTAGTAAAATTGTTGCTATAAAATAATTCACTCTCTCTTGATTAAAGTCTACGAAGCTGTTTGCTGCAACTTTTCAGATTCTCGTACAAACGAAGTAAGTGATTAAAACTTACTGCTAACTTTTTAGGTCCTTGAAGTCAATCAGCAGAAACTACTAACGTTGACTGATTTGCGGTCATCGATGTTGGCTTTCCTAGCAGAATAACCTTGACCGGTTTGCTCAAAATAGCCACTCTTTGTTCAAGCAAACAAAGTTGAATCAGGTTGTGAGTCGAGTTCATCCTTTATCTACGGAGCCTTGTTTATAGAGCCACACATGCGCGCGTAGACACATGACATGTACGTTTATAAACATTATATTGCGATGACGATGTTTATTCTTTTCCTTTAAGCGCGACTTTTTTCGACTGCCTTATTTGATGCCCCTATTAAATATTTTGGGGTGTCTGTAAAACCCGGAACACTTTTACGAAGTTATGAATTTCCCGTGCCCTGCATTATTATTAAATTGTGCTATAAAATGAGCAACTCTCTCTTGATTGATGTCTACGAAACTTGCTGCAACTAAGCTTTAACTTCAGATTCTCGAACTAAATTAAGTGATTACCACTTATTGCTAACTTTTTAGGTCCTTGAAGTCAATTAGCAGAAACTACTTTCGCGGACTGATTTGCGGTCATTGATGTTGGCTTTCGGCAGTGCAGAGCCGTCATTCATCATTCGGCATTGACCATGTTGACTAGTCATTCTTTGTTCAAGCAAACAAAGCTGATTCAGGTTGTAAGTTGCAGGCATCCATTAAATTTCTTTAAAGTCTACTGACTCTTTTCAGTCTGTTCGCAGAACGTGAAATGTCTTTGACATAATTTCACTTTACAACTTCCTGAACTTAAGGACTTTCCCGTTCCCTGCATCATTATTAAATAGAGAGGAGAAGTAACGTCACGTTTCCATGGTAGCAACATTTCTGAATCACAAAAGCTCAAGCCAACGACGGCGACGGCAACGAGAACGGCTAAAAAGCAATCGGTTTATTGCCAACGAGGCAACCGAGCTAAGAAGCGAGGTTGACTCGGCGGCAGAATTGTAACGCCGCGTAATGTAGGCAAAAACTCTCAAATTCTGCGTAACCCTCTAAAATTTGCATTTTTGACTATATTTAGGTGTAAGTAAGACCCTATATTTGGGTAGTGACGTCATGGTCTTGTATTTACAACTCGTGGTTCAAGATTGAGTGATTCAGTGTGCAGCTGTTCGTTGTCTGTTCAAGAGGACCTAACTGGTGAGCAAGCTTTAATACGATTTCTAGTTTGAAAGGGCAATTAGTGCTCTGGTTTGCTTTGTAAATTGTGTTTAAAGCAGCAGCTGATCAAGGAATACGGTTTTACGCTCAAATTTTTGTCAGAAGCAGCTTGTTCTTTGCAGCTCGATTTACATTGAGGTAGCGTGTTCGCTTCTCGACTCAGAACCAGGAATTTCACTGTTCTCTTTTCCTTTGTGAATTGGTAGTTGACCAAGGCATAGGGTTATATTCTCAAAACGTATATCAGAACCAGCATGTTGTTCGCAGGTCGAGTTACACTGAGCCAGTCCTCACCTTCCGTGAGGAATGCAACGTACTTTCAGACCTTTTTTTAGAATTTATTTATGTCCTTCGAGAGATTTTGTCAACCAGCATGTTTTTTTGCTGCTCGATTTACATTGAGACAGCCCAAAACTCCTGTGAGGAATGCAACGAATTTGCGGACCTTTTGTTTTTCAGACTATCATTATGCCTTTCAAGAGACTCTTTGTCCTGTGACACTCGCTCATTAGATCTTTGTATTTTATTCAAGTTCATATTTTTAAACCTCTAATACATTCCGCCCCATTCTTGTGCGCTTTTCACACATTTTACTTTAGACCATATTTTGTCTTATGTATATTACCACACGAAATATTTTTCTTATCCCTGATGACGCTGTTGCTCGGAATTTAATTATTATTTTTAATTTCAGCAGTCTAAGGCCTCAGTTGAACTATATTTTTTTTTCTAACGTTTATAGTTTTGATACAATGGAATTTTCCATGAAACATAAGTGCTAACTTGCTCATATTTACCAAGAAAGCTTCAAGCCATGTTGTTATTGTTTAGTAAAAGTGAAAGCCTAGAATGTGCCAAAGTTGTTGTTTTGAAGTTGGGTGCCATCCTTTTCTATAGCGGAATCCATTTTAAACCTCTAAAAATATCGCGAAGATCTGAATAGGCACATTCCACAAAAGATAAACGAATTCGCCTCGTTGGCACTTGCCGGAAGGTACCCCTAGTTGGGCGTCGATAAAAGCCGGAACATGGAACATCCCGGAACATTCCGGAACATTCCGGAACATCCCGGAACATCCTGGAACATGAAAAAATTAAATTATTTTTTTATAAAAAAAATAATTAATTAATTAATAATTATAATAATGAATATCAAAAAGAACAATAGATAGACAACAATTCATTGCAAAAATTTATAATAACAAAATAAATAACATGACATAAAAACGAAAAATTAAGAAACAAACAAAGAAAGAAAGAAAAAGAAACTGGTATTATCTCCGAGTTTGAGAAAACAATATTTTGTCGCAATGAATATTTTGGGCGAGTGAGGGTCCACTCAAATGACAGTAATGAGTGAAGGCTTGCTTCTAAATTCAAAATATATTAAAATGGGTCGCGAGGAGGGGGTTTTCAAGCTTTCCTCACACAGCCACCTCTTGTAAATGTTTGCTATGCGGTTTAACGGTTATTCATTTATGGCTTTGCGACCGTAAGAAGAGCTTAGGGGCTCTTCGCTTTGGACTTGGATAATTAAATGAAAGATTCACATTCGCCGTGAATAGTTGCAGTGGCAGTGGTAGCGCAGCGGTAGTTTCTAACTGTTATCAGTTAGCCTGAATTTTTGCCGTCTTCCCGCAAACTCCTCTTGCGACTCGAGGAGACGTCTGAAATATCATGCTGACTGTAAACAGTATAGAAACTACTACGAATGGGAGTATTGTCCACTAAAATCCAAAGACAAGAGCCCCTATACTCTTCTTAAGTTCACAGAGCCGCCTACTGTAAGTAATTCATGTCAACCTCAAGAGAAGCAAAGCACCTCAAGTAAGCAAATGTCGGTTATATATAAGGAGACTATATGTTGGCTTGAAATGAGCTGCTTACCGACTTGGCTTGACATAAAATACTGCACCGACATTTTAGACCATTGTAGAACCGTAAATGGATAACCGCCAAACAGGTGGCTGTGTGAGGAAAGCTTAAACCCCCCCCCCCCCCCCCCCCCCCCCCCCCCCCCCTTTTAATATTTTTTTTTTTTTAAAAAACACACCCCCCTACCTTCACCCTTTTCACACCCCCCCCCCCCCCCCACACTATTTACATTTTTTCCAAAAAATATTTTTTTCTCATACCACAGTACACCCCCCCCCCCCCCCCCCCCGCCTCCCTCGCGACCCATTTTAATATATTTTGAATTTAGAAGCAAGCCTTCACTCATTACTCTCATTTGCATGAACCCTCACTCGCCCAACAAATTGTAATCGTTTGCGACAAAATATTGCTTTCTCATACTCAGAGAGGATACCAGTTTCTTTTTCTTGATTATTTCATTATTTTTCTTTTTTTTTGTTATTTTACGTTCTTATTAATTTTTACAAAAATTATTTTATTATTATTATTTTATTATATTTTTTTTTCATGAAAATTATTTTTATTTTTGCATGTTCTGGGATGTTCCGGAATGTTCCGGCATGTTCCGGAATGTTCCGTGTTCCGGGTTTTATGGACGGCCCCCCTAGTTTTAGCAAAACAACAATCACGCTTTTTTATTTGTACATTTCTTAGCCGTCGTCTGCAACTTGAAACTACACAAGAATTTTCTTTTTCTCAAAACTAAACTTGGATACGGTCCTTTCGGATTCAACACCAGACAATTTCGCCAAGATTGTACAAATTAAATGAAATTGAATAAGATCGATGAAGTCTGAATCAGTGCGAATTCATTTTTTAAGTGACGCTTTCGCTTTGTTGTCGTCCGGAAACAGTATGCTATCATGGCAACGTGACATAGCGCCTTCTCTCTATTGTGCTATAAAATTAGCCTGCGCAGCTGGCGGTATTGTGTGATTAAAGTTTTGGCGGCGGAGCCGCGATCCAAAAAGAGGGAGTGGGGACGAGGCGTTTGAATGCACAGCTGGCGGTATTGTGTGATTAAAGTTTGGCGGCGGAGCCGCGATCCAAAAAAAGGGAGTGGGGACGAGGCATTTAGTATTTCTCGCGGCTTCGCCGCTCGTGGCGGCTCCGCCGCTAACTCTCACTCGACTGGTACAGCGGCTCCGCCGCCAAATCTCCCTCGCCTAGTACACAATACCGCCAGCTATGCAGGCTGCTATAAAATGGGTCACTCAACTCCTCATTCCTTTTATCTTACGGAGCTGCTTGCTGCTACTATACTTACCAGATTCTCACCAACTGAGAAGCTGCAATACGTAAGTACTCAGAAAGAAAACCTCAGGTTGTCAAAAAGCAGCTTTCGCAGTTAAGAGATGTTTGCAGATCTTCCACGAACAAATGTTTTACTCTCTATCATTGTGCGTGAATTTTCAAATCTGTTTATACAGATTTTGTTCAAGTCTTCTCACTTAAATTTTTTTCGCTTTATGATCATACATACTTGTTTGTTTGTTGTTCCACTCTAAATCTTTGTCATATTGTACATTGAGGCCATTCTGTTTGAGGTATTCAATTTGCCAGTTACTCAGGGCTGAGAAAATACTCCGATCAAACTTTAACAGTTCTTCCACTTAGTATTGCCCCGGGGGTACTCCTGGGAATTCTTGGTGGGGGTGTGCCGCCCGGTTCTCCAAATCCTGACCCGATTTCGGACCAAAAAATGTCATTTTCCGCACCCGTTTTCAGACCAGACCTCTAAAATCCATACCCGTTTTCAGACCTGGCCTTTAGGCAGAAATTATGTTATCATTACTTAGATTAGAGCGCAAACAGACAAATTCATCAAATCGAATTCGCATATTTCTCTCTCTTTCTTACTCATTTGGAATTGAAACGGATAAATTATACGATCATACACTCCTGTTTTTACCCCGAAAACCATACCCGATTCCAGACCAAAATGGCCAAAGTGTATACCCGTTTTCAGACCAAAACTGCGCAAAAACCCTACCCGATGGGGGCGGCGGCACATACCTATATAGCTTATATAAGAGAGTACCTCACCCCGGGGGTATTGCTTCAGACCTTGAAGGTTTTCGACGAGAATGTTTTTACGATAAACAATGCTTTTTGTCGTCAGTTATCACGACGATATCGGAAAATAATTTCTTTGTTTCACGTATCACGACTGCCGTGTCGTTCACAGTTCACGGGATTTTAAATTTCTTTAAAATCACAAGTCCTGGCAGATAAAAACTTGACGCGTTACAGGAAAACCCTTAATCAATAACAAAACTATATTCCGCATTCCAAGAAACTAATCCTTACGTCATATGTCACGCCACCAATCAGTTGTGTATTTAACTGATCTTGAGTTATCTCGCTTTTTATCAGTCGTTGTTGGGAATTTCTCAGACGGACTTCTGACTTAAAAAACTTCTAGACAACATGTCGACCCAGGAACTTGGATGTGGTGCATGGGGCAACCTGGAAGTGGCTGATGGAAAGGTTCAAAAGATTTGCGACCAGGTATTAGTTTAAGCTCTTGCATAATGTGGCACCCTCCTGACGTAAACTTTTTTTTTGTAACATCTATAATCTATTATTGCCCTTCTCGACTTAACTTCGAAATGCCTTGTTCCCCGCGATAACATTATTCTGTTTTGGCTTAACACCCAAACCAGAAAAAAAATCGAAATCAAACACTTTTATCAATATGAATGTCAGAAGCTGTCTTTTTCATTGCTATTGTTTATCCTCCCACTTTACAATTCGTTACTATTTCATTTATCCTCAAAAATGCAACATCTTCCTGTATTTTTTACATTTACTTGGCTAAACCTCCAAGTAAAGCACATGTAAGTAACAGCAGCTCAAACAATGACTATGATCGTCAAGATATTCTTTTGTACTGTAGGATGGTCAATAAAATTGGCTAAAAATATAATAATTATAATAATAATAATAATAATAATAATAACAATAATAATTTATTCACTTAATATAGCGCTTTTTAACATTAAAATGATCAAAAGCACTTTACATGAATTTAAAAATATATATAAAAACACAATAACCATAATGAATTATACGAAATATTTATAAAGCCTAATATATAGTTTTAGCCAGGGCTAAAAGCGAAGCTCCAATTAATAAATCTATAATTTAAGTCAAACAACAAACTTGTAATCCACAAAACAGGTAACTTAAGGGCACATTCATGTGAGTTTTGAGGGAAAGGCTAAGTTATTTTAGAGTGAAACATCTTACATCGAGTTGATAGCCTTATATGTACACCCCAAAAATAGCAAACATCTTCGATGTCACAAGAGCCATAATGGCTCTTGATCACAGTAGATTTGGCCTGGAAAACAAATTCTTGGAAAACAAATCACGCCCAATTTTTTTGCGAATTTTTTTACTTTACAAATTCTTGCCAACCTCACAACTGAGCTGAAACAGTACTATTTATCACACAGACCTCGGACAGAATGCGGTATTTCACAATTTTTCGAGACAAATTGTACTCAGTCAATATTCAGGACGATCAATCGTGGGCTTTTAGCGAAACCGTTCAAAAAATTTCCAAAATCACCCATACGGCCAGCCGGTTCTCATTTCTAGTGCGAGCTGTCAGTGTGGTCGAGTGTTTGAATGAAGGCTGAGTATCTTATGAAGAATTAACGAGGAGGGTGTTATACGGCCTCGACGGATACCACCCTCCGAGATATCCATCATTTTTCATATGATACGAAAGCCGAATTTAATAATTGTTTTATTATTCATTCAAAATAATTCCTAGTTTAAAAACATATCTAAAACATGCTTACCTCCATCGATCCATGGATGTTACGTTTATCTTCGATAGTGCACGTTTAAGGTTGTTCAGCTTCGCAAATATTCTCCAAATTGCTGGTTTTCAGTGTCACGCGATTCAAAATAGATCAAAATAAAAATCAAAACCGTTCAATAGGTAAAGTCCAGAATCTGGGAAATGAAAGGAGGTACATATACAAAGACCCTCGCCAAGATTCAGATCAGCGGTATATTTCGTATACGAGATATCCGAACAAATGTTTTATGAAATCCAAACGATGTTCTAACAACTTGCAAAGCGATCAGCAAGGGACTTGCCAGCGGATCTTGTACTGATCATGCGCATTACGTCAAAAACCATAGATCAACGGTCTTGAGAAGAAACAAAAACATGGCGGTCGAAGGCGGGACTGTTTCTCATTATTATATTTTGGTCATTTGCAAATTTATTGATTTTATGTCGCTTTTCAGACATGGTGTGTGGTTTTCTTTTTCTGTTAAACAATTTCCCTTGGCAGAGTTTGGAATATGCAACATATAGCTCCGTATAGCTGCTAAGAACCGCCGAAGAGTTGAGCTATCGAGCACTGTTTTGCTGCAAACCTTAGGAAAGTTAAGGTCGCTTCAAGGTACAGAGCTTTCAGTAGTAGTTGTGATTTGTTTTAGGATCGTTTTGAATTTTAACTTTGGATTCAAGGTGTTGACTGATCGAAATAAACGAAGTGAAAAGTTATGAAGTGTTAATTTTTATTCAGTTATGATATGTAGAGCAGCTAGTAAGCTCATGTTTATAAAGCTCTCTTGAATATACTTGCTTCCGATAAATTTGACACTTGCTCCAGTAATCTTTATCAGCGTCAAGTTATCCTTGCCCGGCAAAACGATGTAACCTATAAATAAATCCATCGAGCGCGTTGTTGTTGGTTAAGATCTAGCACGGTTGCGTTTTAGTTTCCCCCGCATTTCGGTACCGAAAGTCAAATACGATATGCAAGAAAAACAAAGATGCATGGTATGATTTTTTTCAATTTTTTAAGCATTTCTGATTTCCTCTGCCGGTTCGCTTCAATTCTTGCTTCTAAAAAGTCTAAAAATATTTAGTGTGGGAAAAGTACTGTAATTATCCGCTGACCACCACGCTGGGTGACCGCTTTGCAAGTTGTGAGAACATCGTTTCTCGGTCCCAGACNGAAACATCTGTTACCGAGTTTTGCTACAAAAGCGTGAATTTATTCTTTGAGAAGCTCATAAACATTAAAGTGATACTTTTTCTAATACATGAACTGCTTAGATAGCAAAATTTCCTGAAATAAGTCACTTTTTTAACCTGCATGACAGCTCTCTTGGCCGTCATGTAACTCAGTTCCGCGTCACGCAAAAGCTTAGAAATTTAAGCGTACTCTATCAGAATACCAAGAACCCTGTTGAAGCGAAAATTTGTATGAAAATTAGTTTTCAGCTGCTCTAATGCATCGTGAAAGTAAAAATTCGGTTGGATCGATAGTTTTTTAGTTTGAATTTTAGTGACGTCATGTGAAAACTAACAATAGCCCTTCGAGTTGTCTTCTTGCTGTTCTTGCTATGTTTTTAGCTATTATTTCGCCTAGTTTTTACTCTTGAAACGAGTGAAATGTCCGCCATTTTTGTTTTCACAACCAAAACAACTCAACCTCGTCCCCAGGTCTTCTCGGTTAACGGTGCATTAACCTGCAAGAAAGCTGCCCCTTGACGTCATCAGTTCATTAAACGCAAAATTCTTCCAAATTTGGTCATAAGTAGCTGGTTATTATGAATTATGCGTGTGCTTTTAGCCAATCAGAATCGGGGAAATATTTCAAATGAATAATAATATTATTTTTTGTTATTTAATGGCACAAAAATAGTGAATCTGCCATAAAACGTCGATTCCTCAATTCACGGGAGTTTAAATTCACTTGCTTTCGAACTCTTCGCCTTGCAACAATGTGGCTTCCTACACGAAACAGGATTTCCTTGCTATAAGTTTTTTATGCCCCTTTTTTATCGACTGTCGAGTAATCTTTTTGAATCGTTTTTGGCGAAACGTGATCACTGATAGCGCGTCATTTCAACATCGCCGAAAATAAACCGCATGATCATCACAAGACTCATTTGCATACAATGAAAGTTTACATAACTTCTCCATCGAAATTTTTTTCTTCTTTATTTCAACCACTGAAGTATTCACTTGCTCCAAAATAATCGACACTTTCAAGCGATAGAATTCGTAGACCGACCCGTTCCGGAAAAGCTCTGCATCATTCGCATTAATCTTCACTGCATGGCTTTTGTCACGCCGAGATACTTATCCCCAGTTTCCACGGTCTATGCTACGAACGCCTCGGACTATGACCCCTTTTAGGACCCAAAGACGAAAGAAAAAAAAGAAGAAACGCTTGCATTTTCTGAGTCTCCCCGCTAAAGCAAGCAAGACTAAAAAGGCAAAAATGTGAGTAGAAGACTTTCTAATATAGCCGGAATATTCAATTGTTGTAAATCGGTAGATGATACTATCCCAGAAGAGGTGAAGGGACGTATAGTTAGGGTGCATATGACTCGGACTTAACGGTATTTAGTTTTTCGCACCTCTTTACTAACAGGGTGAAAAATAACTTCAACTTGTCTCTCGGACAGGTGAAGCCCAAAGCGGAGGAAATGGCACACCAAGACTTTCCAATATTTGAATCCATGTCATATAGAAGTCAACTTGTGGCAGGAACAAATTACCTCATTAAGGTTAGTCAAGAACGTTCCCAGTAACAATGTACGCCGGCTGTGCAGTCGGTCCCACTTCACGAGGGCGGGTTAGAGGAAAGGGGAAGCCAATTATTATTTAATTGCATAATGACTCCTGTTATGAAGTTAATTCAAGCGTAATCTGTTTCCATAATCAGTGATATTTTCATAACACGGCTTTCCAGTCAAATGGTTTGCTCATGAATGTGAAGTGCATAAAACTCATAAGCAGTATCAAAATTCGTCAATCAAAGAAAAGAAATATCATTTGTTTATATTGTTTATTTGCGTCTTCTGGGCCTTGCAAGTAAGTTGACTTTTTTCCAACAATCTGTTTCATACTTGACTCACACATTCACATAAAAGTATTTTCTGGGATAATTTTCTCTTTTATTTAAGGAGCATCAAATCATTACATTGCAGGCAAAAAGAACTAATCTGAATTTACTTTTTAAGCTTTCATATTTGAATTTAAACTTCGCACTAACCATGATCTTAACCCTGCTTTGAACATGTTGAACAACCCGGCTAAAATAAGGGTTTGCCAACCTTTCATAAAGTATTGTGGGTAGTAATGATCGCGATAAGGACTGGAAGAACGTAATTTCACTTTTTAAGCAACGTTTTCTGCCATCCCGTCATCGGATCGTAAAAAAAGTCCTTCCTAACTGTCCGTCTTATAGCTGTGTATACCTTGTAGAGTGTCTGCGAGAAAACAACTGAAAAATGGCAAAGGCCAACACAAACCTAGAGGTTCGTTAATAGAGAGTTGACTGTACGCCTTCCTCAAGGGTAGGTCTTTAAAATTGTTTAAATATTTTACCTACAGGTTTTTGTTAACAATCCCAGGCATCATCCCTACGTTCTTTTGCGCGTGTACCAGTCTCTGAAATCAACCGTGGAATTGATTGATATCAAGACAGGAATGACCAAGGACGATCCCATAGACCCTTCCAATTTTTAGGTCAAGACAAAATTCAACCTCGCCGCCCAGAGTTTTTTACTCGTTAACTGCGTCATGCTACGTCATTAATGGTGCAGTTGACGAAAAACCCCGTTTCCGGGGTCCTTCTTTTCGTCTTCTGTGTCACGACTCAAGAGTGACGTAAGACGACGAAAGAGAGGCCCTGGGAACAAGGCTGGCTCAGGAAAGAAATACGTTGGGAACGAGGTTGGACAAAATTATCATTGAGTAGTGATGTAAGCATTTTGCCACAATGGTTAAATTAAACGTAAGAAACCATTTTTTTTGTTTGATCGTTTGCAAAGACTTCTTAGAACTTAACTGATGAAGGGACAGAACCAAGGGTAAAACTTTTAAACTATATCAACATCAAAGACTTTTGTTACCACAAAAATGGGCAACATTCACCAACTCCGGCAGTATGGCTATTCCCTCTTGGCAAACTCGATTATTTTTTCGGTTTTAGGGATGAGTTTTTTGGGGGACTGACCAAGAGGAAATACACCCGGGGAAATACAGCTATTGTTCCTTAATTTTAAAGACCTTGTAACGCTAAGTCTACACTGCAGGGTAGCGTGTTTATTATGTATACATTTTGCACCTTACGCTCGTTCAGCAGGTACGCTGTGGTAGGGAGGTAGGAAAAGGATTTACCGTTCCGAGACATGAGCTCGGTATTTTCAGTGCTAAGTGAAAAAGTCTCATCCAGTTGACCGGGATAAGTGGCTTTGCTTGCTGGGAAATTAACGTTTAAAGCTTTCCTCGTAAAAAAAAAAATTGGTCATTATCCTAGACGAGCCAAGTTGCTTTGGTTCGCCCATCTAGGTAAACTGGAAACAATCAGAGTATGCGCGAGCGCTATTGGCTCGGGCAAAAAGGGCAAAGGGATCACCTTTTTTTTTAATATGAGCGCTCGCTAAAGAGGGTGCCCTTTCTACTCGGGATAAGTTTTCTCCATATAAACGGGGCCTAAGAAATCAGCCGTATGTAGGAAGGATCTTTGTCCTGTGGTGCTGCCACATTGTCTTAGAACTTTCTTGAATTTTGAAGTAATTTATTTGAAAATTTCTGCACGAGAAATCCCAAAGGCCAATCTCAGCAGCGCGAAATTTATTTAAATTAGATGGACCTTTCCGAAACCGAAGCGGCATAGGGGGATTACACAATGGCACAATCGCCAGTTTGCGTAATGTTCAATACTGTAGTTAAATCAAGACATGTTTGGAGGTTTAAAATTCCACTTCTATCCGAAAGCAAGGAAAGTTTGTGAAAGTGTATGCAAACTAAACACAGTTTTAAGATCTACCAACGGCGTTGCAGAACAGGGGGTAACACTGGAACCCCAAAAGATGCAGTATCACACCATTTCAAGAGCGGATCACAAGACCTCTACCTCTCAAGAAAGTGAGATCAGAAGTAATTGATAATCTGATAAATTGGTACACATAAAGACAGAAACCAGTAAAATAAGTTAAATTTCCGTTTCTCTTTGAATTGATCAGATTTCTCGTTTCACAAGGACAGTTATTGCAATAGCTACATGTATCATAACAGTCTTCTGCTTAATAATTTTGACTACTGCCCACATGGAGACATCTTTAAATTAAATCAAAACTCTCTTAAGGAATTACTTTATTTCACAAGGTAATCTCAGTTCTCTTGCCTAAACTTTCTTGACGCCACGCTACAGTAGATCTTGCTGTTCTGAAAAAAGCATTTTTCTTCACTACCGTAAATCCTCTATTAAGCCCCCCCCCCCGGGACTTATTTATTTCAAGCCCATTTGAGGGGGGGGGGCTTAATAGAGACGGGGGCTTATTTAATTTAGGAACAACGATAGTATCAGTTCTCCATAAAGAACTAGTATGTAAAGAGGAAAAGATCAAGTAAAAGAAGTTTCAGGTCATGCAACGGAGGATCAGAATCAAATCCGATCTTCCAGTTGGTAAGCAAACCATCCCGGATCAGTCTACACCAAGTTTTACAGTCGTGGTTGATTAATTCAGTCTATCATTTATTAGTGAAGAATAATTAGAGGAGGGGGGTTAATAGATAGGGGGGCTTATTAACTTTCTTCCCCTGAAAAGGGGGGCTTATTTGAGAGGGGGGGCTTAATAGAGGATTTATAGCACGTTAAATTTGCCATTCCAGTTGGAAAGAAACAAAATAGAGTGCAAGCATGGTTGGATATCTAAACCAACTACCTTTCAAATCCATTATCATAGGCGTGAAAGGGAGGGGGAGAGGGCAAAGGGGTCCTTTCAAGTTTAAGTGTTTCTAAAAACAAATGCTAAGTGCTAATGCTTAGTCCAGTCAAAAATCTACGACCACTTCTGAAAGGTTCTGTGTTCACAACGGTCTTTGTTGAATAGTGCAACCATCACCAGTTTGTTCCGGGCGTTAGATAGTGGGGAAAAGCACAAAAAGGATAGCAAAGTGTTTCTTCTTTTCTTTCTTTCTTCTATGTTCTCTTTTTCATGACATCCACACTGGTTGAACACTTAGAACAAGCTAATCGATCAGTCATCGCCCAATAAAGAGTCAATTTTTGAAGTCCTGTCTGACTTTTTCAATCAAATCAGAGTTGCACAACACATCAATAGCTGTCATAGCCATTGCTTTGCTTGCAATCAAGGTCCTCTCGTTAGCTTTCTCTGTGATTGCTGCTGTGGTAAATGCATGGGAATGATTAGGGGCTGTAGTGTCAATAGCATACACTGGATGAATCGAGGGAACTTCATGAGAAACATTGCCCATGTCAGTTGACGCTGAAAAATCTGCACAAATAAAGGTTACTCCTAAACTCTCTGCATTTGCCTTGTAGAGTTCAGCAAGGGTGTCATTGCTGACCAAGTCTTCATAACGCATTGCTCCCCATTCTGCAAAAACCTTGCAGCCTAAAAGACAAGGGAAAATGGCAACATCTTCATTGTTTGAGTGCATTGTAGCTTTCATTATTTTTTATGTACTGACAGTGTAGCTTTAAAAAAGCAACTTTTCAAAAAAAAACTTTAAAGAAGTTTTGTATTTTCAAATTACTGTGCCACTTTCAATTTCAAAATTTTATCAATCCATATTAATCCATCCTCCATGTGTTTTCCATTTAAAGTAAGATTAAGACAGAATCCATCAGGAAATTGAGTAATATTAATTTAAACAATATCGCATTTTTTTAAATTTTTCAACGGCTATAGATGTAATTAGTTATCTGTAATAACACCAAACAAAATTTCTCACAAGAGCCGGAGAAAAGAAAAATTAATGTCAAGTTTCACCAAAATGACATCTTATACACATGAAATCTTCAGAATTTTACCTGTGCTTTCACAATTCATGTGAAATTTGACATTTAATTTCTCAGGCTCCCATGAGAGATAACTAATTGAAGAGCACATTAGCAAAATACCCCAAAATTGAAATTGCACAAAAATTGTGATATTGTTAAAATTTTTCTAGTAAAAGCTTTCTGTCCCCTGAAAATTGAAATTACTCAATTTCCTGATAGATTCCATCTTAATGACAGCACGTTGCCAATTTATTGTTTATGCATTGTACTCTTGAGATAAAAAAAAAAAAACAGTTTTCGCAAATGCAAGGCAACTCCCTCAGAAAATTGGTTACTGTCAGGTAACATACACAATGTACTGGTACATGTAAGTAAGGTCCATTTCAAACAATGAACTTCAAAATGTAATTGTAATCATAATTTGTTTACCCACAGAGCAGGAATTCTTAAGAACTAGTTGAAAAGTGTCCGCGCATTCCAGATCGAATTGAAATTTGGAAGTGTTGGTTTTTGAGGAGCGGGGAAAACTGGAGTACCCAGAGAAAATAATTTGTCAGAGGAAGGTAGTCAACCAATTACAACAAATTCAACCCACATGGCGTTGATGCCAGGATTCAATCCCAGGCCACATTGGTGGGAGGCAAGTGCTTTCACCACTGCACCACCCTTCCTCCCCAAAATGTGCCAAATCAATTAGCAAATGAGTGAGAACAACAAATTTTGTTCATAGACATATTTGCGAAGTTCAAAGTTTGAATTGGCCCTACAGCTCTTTATTGGTTTTGTTTAAAAAATAATAATTACTTTGTGTTCAACAAGTGAAGAACAGTGCACAGTGCTTACCAGTAGCTGTTGCTGCAGCTTCAAAACAACTTGTCACCTTTTGCCGTAACAAGTCAAGCTCCTCGACAGTTGGAGCTCTAAGGTAATACTTTAGCTGGGTGTGGTCAGGAATGATGTTAGGCTTCACACCTCCCTCAGTGATGATACCATGAACTCGCCATGTGGGCTTTATTTGTTGTCGTAACACGCTTATACTGTTATAAGCCATGACTGCTGCATCCAGTGCATTGACTCCTTCCCACGGGAATGCTGCAGCATGAGAGGCATGACCTTTGTAGGTGACTGTGACTTTATCTCGAGCTAAGATGGTTGGTTTCAGCATATCCACTGGGCTAGGATGGACCATCATACAAAAGTCAACACCTTTAAAGCAGCCATTATTAATCATCAAAATCTTGCCTCCTCCACCTTCTTCAGCTGGAGTTCCAAAAACTACTATTTTCAACTTAGGCTTCTGGTTGACAGCCTCCAAAGCAATCTTGAGACCTTCACAGAAAAACACAGACAGCATATACATGTACATGTACTGCCTTTCAAAGCAATTCGCAGTTAAATTTTGTTAAATTTTCTAAAGTACTGTCATCTTCCTTTTTTATAACATACAAATTTTCCATGTTGTTTTTGTTCCTTAGTTGTTTTATCCAAATTATCCCTATTCATTTTTCTTTCTCTTGCAAAGTGCAATGTACATGTTGCCCCATCATTGGCTATTTCTCTGATTTAGAAAGGACTACAGTTTCAAGGCCTTCCTTTCTAAAGTTGAATGGACCCAATATGCAAAAATGGCTGCTGAATTAATATTCTTTTGTTTAAATCAAAATAAAGCCTGACTAGCTTTGCTTGAGATAAGGTATTATTATATAAACACCAATGAAATACCAGGTGAGCTTTTGCATGAAAACTTGATATCTTCACATGTGAAAATAACATGTTATCTTCACATGTGAAAATATCACCGTTGCTATGGCTTCATAATAAATCACACCTTTCACACCAAAAAACTATTAAAGTGAAATGGTTTGGTAGTTCATTGGTGTTTATATAATAAATATTATAGAACATTACGTGGCCGCTTGGAGATACGAAATTTCTCTTCGAGTGTTGAAAAAATATTTCACTCGTTCACTGCGCTCACTCGTGAAATATTTTTCAACACTCGAAGAGAAATTTCGTATCTCCACACGGCCATGTAATATCCTCTATTTCTTTTGAATTTTGTACCTAAGAACCAGGCTAGTAGGGCTGATTTGAATATGAACAAAAGAAAATGAAACTGCTGTGACCATTTCTGCATTAATTGGGTCTTAAGCTTGAAATTAATTTTGCTACTTATCAAATATGTCAAACGACCAAACCACATATTTGCCACATATGACTTTATGAATCTGGAAAACATTGAATTTTAATGTTGTATATTTTCTCATCCTTTAAGCTTTCTTGGGTGAAAGTTTTTGACTTTGTCATTAGGTAGCAAACTTACACCATAGAATGGGGGTAGCAAATACCAGACGTAACTAATCAATGATGAATGACATCAATGAGTAATCGATAACGATCATTGGGTAATCAACTGATTATTCAATTATTATTTGCTACAATCAATGGGTAATCGATGACTGATCAATGGCCAAAAATTTTGTGGCCTATTGATTACTCATCGATTAGTCATTGATTTACTCACCTCATACAATTTGTAGCAATTTTTTTTCCTAACTTATAGCCAAATAGGAATTGAACATGCATGTAGAAAACCAATGTATATACGCCATGACAAAAAGAGAAAGAGAATGGCAAATGAAATTTATTTATTGGACAGTAACTAAAATATCAAAAACGAAAGGTTCAGAAGGTCGAGTTATGTCTTACTCTCTTGGCTATTAGAGTCTGTGTCTTTGGTGAGAAAGGCAGCCACCACAGAATGCTTACCGAATAAAAGATCATGAACAAAAAAAGCTTGTACAGTGACATTTATGTCAAAGAAGTCTTCATTTCTTTATTTTCGATTTGGTTTGGTTTGCGTACCCTGAGATTATATCAATAATTAATCAATGACTAATCAATAACTGAAAATTTTGTGGCCTATCAATTATTCATTGATTACTCATTGAATATCGGATATAATCAATGACTAATGAGTAATCAACTGATTACCGATTGATTACTTATTGATTTCATTGATGTCATTAATGTCATCGATTAGTTACCGTCTGGCAAACATAAACTTGTGCTGCGCCTTTCGTATGCTTGCGATCCGTTGTTAGACCTTTTGAGTTGTTATGTTAACCGAATACATGAAGTCGCCCATTGTCTGCTTAATTGGGCTTGGGCTACCTATGGTGTAAACTGACAATACAGAGTCTATAATATCTACCTAAAGCAGCAGCTACGCCAGATTCAGCAATCAGATTGTGTCCACACGCGTGAACTACTTCTGGTAAAGCGTCATATTCACAAATCAAACCAACTGTAAGGCCTCCATCTTCACCGGTTTCAGCACGAAAAGCGGTGTCCAAAGTGTAATGAGGTGTCACATCAAAACCTCGTGCTGCTAAATACTCTGTTAACTGATCGTGAGCGTATATCTCATTAAAGCCAAGCTCTGGATTTTGCCATATACATCGGTTAAGATCAAACAACTCTGAAGAATACGTGTCTATCGCCTCTTTTGCTTTCTCCTTCAATACTTCCGCTTCACTTTCCGCCATTTTCCGTCGGAAGCAAAGATAGTTAACGTTACATGAATTATCCTTTGTTGGTTCGGATTCGAACTGTACGACCGCGGGCGCAGCATTCCACCATGTGGCGGTTTCTTCAAACGACTACAGAAAGCGAAACGACACGGATGAGATGAAAAATGATCGAAATGTAGGTATGTTGAGTAGTTGTCCAAACTTAAAAGGGATGTTCATGCTAAGGGAATCGGCACAACTGATATTTTTAAGTATTCTGTCCAGAAGATGCCAAATCCGACTAACTCCCACAAGCATACATGTGCAGACTCTCGACGATGACACTTCTTTACAACTTTAATCACAGGGAGCCCACACAAACGGTTTGTGTAGCCGATTGTTATTTTATAGCAAATGTACTGGATTTACCGTTTGCTTCACCTATAGCGATATATCGCTAACTATGTATATAAATCAATGATAAATAAACGTTGAATTACCTTACCTATAGGTGTATAGTCGTCCTTTTGCCTCAAAAGCGGTTTTTTGAGCGATTTTGAATGAATTTGAGTTCGCCGTTGACTGTTCCATATAATAGAAGGACTATTGTATGGAACAGTCAACGGCGAACTCAAATTCATTCAAAATCGCTCAAAAAACCGCTTTTGAGGCAAAAGGACGACTATACACCTATAGGTAAGGTAATTCAACGTTTATTTATCATTGATTTATATACATAGTTAGCGATATATCGCTATAGGTGAAGCAAACGGTAAATCCAGTACATTTGCTATAAAATAACAATCGGCTACACAAACCGTTTGTGTGGGCTCCCTGTGCTTTAATATTGTTTATATTCAAAGCGGCTTTTCCGTGAAAATGTGCGTTATGTTAACTGAAATCAGATTAACACAAGAACTTCTTCGAAAAAAATTGCGTTTTCAACAATGAGGTTTTATTATAAATCAGCATGTTTACTGTGGCACTCCCGTTCCGCTGATCACGACATTGACAGGCTCGCGTGTGTCGTCATAAGACGAAAAAAGTTTGGAACTGATAAGCGGGGTTTTATGCATGCTTATCCCTTTCTTAGGGTCACAAATGTTATTGCATCTAACTGTGACACATCTTATGTGGCATTTTTTGCCTTTTAACTACAGTTTCAGTTCGTAAAATGTAAGAAAAATTCTTGAACGACGCACTTGTTTCAGTAGTTGTGTTGAAATTTCCTCAAGAAAAATGCCAAAATGGCAGCAAATTTGAATGTTTCAAAAACATTTTAAAAACGTCATGTGTTCAAATTGCATTTCTTTTCGTAGAGGTTCTTGAGTAATGCACATGTGATGTGTAGAGTCTTTTATAGCCTCCTCATCCCCAGTCAAGGTGGACCCTCATCAAGTTCACTTTCTTCATTGCCACTTCCCAAATTAGAATGTGCCAGTCAGTGGCAGATCCAGGGGAGGCCCCTCTCCTCCCTCTTATTTTTAGACCAAACTGAGGCCCAAAGGGCCAAAAAAATTTTTTTTTGAGACCAGGCCCCCCTTTATCTCAGGGTCTGGATGACTGCCCCCTGCTTATCTGCAGGTGTGGATCCACCACTGCCAGTAGACTGTACTCGACAGACTTGGATGGTATAGTGAAAAAGCCAAAACAGCCTGGCCAGTGCATGTTTTTTTCCCAGTCTAGTAAATGCTAAACTACATATACATTGTACCATACATACAACAAATGAGAATTATTAAGAATCTTAATTTCAAATTCTCTGGAGTGATGGTTGCCTTACCATTACCTGATATGAACTATAAACCACTGTATAAATTATATAGTGTATAAACCATAAAGTGTTTAGATACTACTATAATCTATTTTCTCCTTGGCAACTCATTTTCAGTAGACTGTAATGCTGTTTTGCTTGAAATTGGCAAGTTCAGGGCGATTTCATATGCTCTCACAAAGTTTCTAGTGCACACTCAAATTAATTACATTGTACTACTGTATTATTTGCAAATTAAAAAATAGGATTTTGAAACTCAGATTTCCCTCCTATTATTTTAAGCCCCCAAATTTTCATTATTAATTTTTACCATAAACTGACTCATAGTGCTTAAAAAAATCTTGATTATCAAGTAATTAAGTATATAATGGTATCTGGGTTTTCTAACTTAAAAGCAAAAAAAAGTGCTCATTGCTGAGGAATGATTTAAGCCATCTCGCCTAGTAAAGGTATTATTAAATCATTACTTTTTAGAAGTATGCTTGCCCAGAATTTTATTTTTCTGACACCATTGATTTTTATTTAGTCCAAAATCTCACCTGTTAATGTGCTCTGTTAGCCTTTTAGGACGGTTTTTTCTTCAATGGATGGAATCTCAATGAATTCTGCACAGCTAAACAATTCATAATGATCTTAAGTCTTATACTCACTATGAAGTTTACAGATGCCACACACGATATTCTTTTTCAGGCAATGACAAACCAAAAAAAGAGAAACTGAATTTGCAACTAGGTTCTGGGCTTTCAAAATGCACCGATCCATTATCCTCCTTTATTGGCCTCCTTTTGTGCGCGTGTCTCATGCTTGCGGAAATAACTTGATGTACATAGTGAAGTGAAATGTCAACAGCCTTTGCTTAAACTTAGTTTTGTTGTCTTCACGTGCTTAAAGTAATCCGGAATAATCTTCTTCACATTTTCAACTGTCACCGTGCGCTCATGTTGCACGAAATAGAAGTTACATGTATAATAGAAGTACAAATTGTTTATGACGTCAGTGCCTGGTGTGCCTGTAGTCATTGACCTCTGAGAATACAGTTAGCAATTGTATACTTGATATTTAGTTGCCACTTGAGTCCTCCACGTGACACCGAAACTTAGTAATTCATGTTACTACAGGAAGCAAATCATTCAGTGTTTCTCGAATAGAGTGGATACTGTGACATCATCAGTAACTCAGTTTTCTGGGGTAGAAGCATGTCTCCTTTGCTATGGCTGTTCATTTTTCTTTTTCTGATGAGCAAAATGGTAAGTGTCAAACAAGTTGGTTTCATTATTGCAATCATGTAATGTTTCCTGTTGCAAAGTCGTATTCGCTTTGTTACCCCATTTCCTTGGGAAAAAGTACGTAACGTTTTAAATGATGAAAATTAGTTTCCTGCCTGTAGAGAGTAAGTGAGGAAAAAAAGTCTAGATCGAAGTTATAATCTTTGCTTAATTGCGAAAGGCAAAAAGTACAGGAGTAAGCAGAGAATGTAACAGGAAACGATTTTTAGTGTACTTGGTGTAAACAAGGATTAACAGCAGGATCAGAAGATCAGGATCTCACACAGTGTACAGAGCCGCTTTTAAATGTTGTATAATGGAAGGTTTCGTCGGGGAAAAATCGATCCTGTATAAAATAGGAGTGCTTATTTCAGAAAATAGACGGGATTCTTTTAAAGTAACTAGCAAACATGGCTAGATCTGTTAAACGGCCTGGTTAACTTTTCAAGTGAGGTTAAACTGTCAATCTTAAGCCGGAAAGGAAAGTTATTTTTTCTGTACACTGGCTTAGGCTAGCATGAATTGCCCATTTGCTACTTTCGCACCTGAAACGCTTTCAGAATCCTTCAGCTACTGGAGCCGGTTTTGCATTGTGGTTGCCGCTTCTACTAAGGAAAGAGTCTGTGAGGGTGTTGCGAAATAATAGTTTTTAAAAAGGAGTACAAGGTTTCGAGAGGAGGCTTATTTCCGAAAATTGTGGCTGAATGAAGGGAATGAAATCCACTGTTAATCTCAATGCCAGACCACACACTTCTTTTACTGACCCGTAGAATGCTAATTTAAGAAGCGTTCATAAGTATTTTTCCGCCTCTCAAGCTACCTGTTGATGCCTGCTTTGTTGTTTTGTAACAGTTTTCCTTTTTGCCATAATGTATAAATGAGCCTGACTTTTAGGATAAGCTGCTTATAGTGCTGGTTGTGTTTGCTTACGTGAGAAGAGTTTTGGGTGCATTTCACACGGAAAGTCAAACATGTCCGAATTTAGTTTTCTATCGTCGCGATCCTCTCTTTTAGTGATGCTTGCTAAAGCACCGCTCTGCTCATGATCATAGTGACAAGTGTTTTAGAAATAATAACGGGAGTTACTGTAGTTTGGAAAATTGTAGAAAATGCTATTAAAACACATAGCTCTTTGTAATTAAAAAGCAATAATGTGGCGATACCCACATTGTATTGGGCAGCTTAAACTAATAGAAGCGCCCTCCTGTTGGATTTTTTTTTTGCTGGGAAACGCCTTTTGTTTTCAGCTTTAAGTGCTAATATTAATTTAGTCTTAAACTAGTTCAGTGTGGACGCGCATCTTTTTCGTTGATTATGATCAACATAGTATTATAATGCAACATTACAAATTTCGCCTTGCACGATTCAGTTTTTGTTTTTTGTTCAGAAATTGCGACTGAATAAATTAATGCGAAGTATAATTGGTCAATATAATAAGAGCGGAATGGTCGATGGTAAGAATGCTCTTGAACGTTATGCCCCGTCAGGTCCAAAAAAGCTAACAATCCCCCTGAAACAAAAACATACAACAAATAACTCTGAAGTGCTGCCTTCCACCTTGCTTTTATTGCGCCGTTTTTGTCTGAAAACGGGTATACACTTTGCCCATTTTAGTCTGGAATCGGGTATGGTTTTCGAGGGAACTACGCGAGTGTATGAACGTATTTATCGTTTCAATTCCAAATGGGTGAGAAAGAAAGAGAAATATGCGAATTCGAAATGGATTTTAAGAATTTTTGATGCTGTTCTAATCTAAGTGTAAATGATGACATAAATTTCTTAGGGGCCTGGTCTGAAAACTGGTGTGAAAAATCATGACATTTTTTGGTCTGAAATAGGTTCAGGATTTAGAGAACCGGGTGGCACACCCCCACGAAATACCTCCACCCCCCGGATTGGAATCTGCTTGTTTTAATACCTGCTACCATGTTTTTTCTACAGAGCTGGGTAGCCTGTGGTCAAGGAGGCCAAGTGTCTCTCCTGTTCCGTTCCTTTTC